GTGTCACAAGAGGGTCCAAGCGGTATAGCTCCATATTCCTCCCAGTGCCAGCACTCACTTCTAGCACGTTGCCTCTTGCCTCTCTGCATAACTTTTCCCTTTTGCTCCTCAAAAACATGAGCTTTTCGGATAATTCGACTTCGTCATCAAAGTTCCTCGAGAGATCCAGCCATCTTGAAGAGACATCGGCGTTTTGCGGAAGATCGAGATTCTCATACTCCTTTACAGAGCGCGTGTAGGACACGTACGTGTAGGCGACGTACGTGGAGAGGAAGAAGCCGAAAAGCGAAGTGATCCAGAAATAGGTGTTGGAGGACATGTGGATACGCTGTCTCCTGTGTTTGGCGGCGAGAGCGTCGAGGGCATCTTGGGCGGACGCGCGGTCGAGGAGGGTCGGCCTGGGTCTATGTTGCGATTGGGGCTGTCCAGGTCGAGGGATGTTGGGGTTTGGAATGGTTTGCTTTGTGGAAGCGTATCTGCGTGATGCGAGGTAATAAGAGGAGCTAGAAGCAGGTCTCACAGCTTTTACAGATGCTGACAACGCGCACCGACGGACTGAACGCGAAAGAGACTGCTGCTGATGGAGACATCTTGATGTTGAGTGAGAAGCTGCGCGCTTCGCAGAAATAGAGAATGCGAGGTGCGGAATCCTCGAGGACTCTACATACAGCCTTGAAATTTCCGCCATGGCTAAGTAATGGCCAAATATCAACTGTTCATGTGTTGGACTTCCACATTGGACAACGACGCTGCCCATCTCGAATTGTTTGTGCCTGGAACCAAGAATACTGTGTACAGCTTTTTAGCCGAGATTGATCCGACCTCGGACATTGGAAGGGCGCGCACATCTTGAGCCCTCCCTTTGTCTGCGGAGAACGACGTCTTGTTGGGCTGCCGGCTAGAAAGGGGCTCATATCTCGCTGTGCTGCGTTCGGTAAGTTTATGAACTCTCGTCGCTCAAAAGCGCAAGGTAGATACAAAAGTCCTGTCCACCATGTCTGACGCTCCGGTGGCGCAGCAGATATTGATCGTTGGAGCCGGCGTCTTTGGCCTCTCCACGGCGCTGTCGCTGCTCTCCAATCCCACGTACAATGCCAGCCGCATAACCATCATCGATGCCTCTCCCTCGCTGCCCAACCCCTCTGGCTCCTCCGTCGACGCCAACCGCATTGTCCGCGCCGACTACGCTGGCAAACACTATGCCCAGTTGGCCTCCCAAGCGCAAGAACTCTGGCGCGACACGAGGAAGGAAGCCTGGGGAGGCGAAGGCAGATACTATGAGCCCGGGTTCGTGCTGACGGCTGATGAAGACAAAGATGCCTACTTGATGGAGTCTTTGGCCAATGTGAGAAGACTGGCAGAGGAGAGTGGTAGAAATGTGGACTCGAGCAAGATCAGAGAATTACACGGACAGGACGAGATCCGGAAAGCAACGGGCTACGACGGGGTAAGTGGCGATCATGGGTACGCGAACTTCAACTCGGGGTGGGCTGATGCCGAAGCATGTGTTGCGCATGCTTTGAGAAGGATCCAGAGTGAGAGCGACGGTCGCGTTGCCATCCGCCCAGGTGCACAGGTTGCGAGGCTGGTCTTTTCCGGAAGCGAGTGTCAGGGCGTGGAATTGGTCGGCGGAGAGCAGATTCTGGCAGAGTTGACCGTCTTGGCTGCTGGCGCGTGGAGTCCTAGCCTCATCGACCTTCAGGGGCGATGTCTTGCCACCGGGCAGACGATGGCGTTTCTGGAGATCTCGCCTGAAGAGCAGGCGGCAATGGGAAACAGGCCGACCGTCATGAATATGAGTCGAGGGACATTCATCATACCACCGAGAGGGAAAGAACTCAAAATTGCGAGGCATGGATACGGATATCGAAACCCGGTGAAGATATCAAAGGGGGTCATCAACCCTGATGCCCCAAGCGACCTTGATCCCGGATACGTGGAAGTCAGCGTGCCCAAAGTCGGCATCCCCATTCCGCTGGAAGCTGAAGAAGCCCTGCGGGAAGCCCTTGGCGAGCTTCTGCCTCAGCTGGCCAACAGACCGTTCACGCGCACGCGGATATGTTGGTACTGTGATACGTAAGTCTATTTCCTCAAGACTCTTCACCCCCGTCGTCCTATCATGCCATTATCGCCCGAAAAGCAGTCTCTCAACGCATTGAATTTGGAAACAGACCCAGCGGCGACTTCCTCATCACCTTTCACCCGGATTTCAAACGTCTTTTCCTCGCCACAGGGGGGTCAGGTCACGGGTTCAAGTTCTTCCCCGTGATAGGCGACAAAATTGTCGCCGCGATCCAAGGAACGCTGGAGCCGGAGTTGGCGCAGATCTGGAGATGGAGGAGCGAAGAGGATTTGAGAGACACGATTAAGCGCGGCGGGGACAGCGGAGGGGAGTTCACGGGGTGTGAAGATGGAAGCCGAGCGGGACCAAAGGGGATGGTGCTGGAGGAGGAGATGCAAAGACAGAAGTCGAGGTAGGGCGAGGACGACGTCCTTGATCTGCGTCATGTGGATATGAGAAGGAATGAATGGAAAAGTACGGATTGCCGAGTACTGCTCAACTGGAATGCACCAGAGTCACTCTGATGGGCAGTGTGAAAGCAAAAGCCTGGTGAGATTTAGTGCTCTCGGCGCCCATCCATTCCATCCGTTTCATTCCAGCCCCGGGAACCACGCACTTAATCACACAGGAAAGTTGTCTCACTCACAGCACGGACAGACAACAAGCCGCGGCGCTGAAACGGTACCGGCCACGGAAAAACGCGAGGGTGCAACACGCGGATGTGCCAATCCCTGGCCTCCCTCGTCTCCTTTCGTCCCTTGCGAAGATGGTTCTAGTTCTGGTTCTGGTCCCGGCTCAAGGTCCTCACACCAACCACCGCGACATTCCCGTCCTCCTTTTTTTTTATTCTTTATATTTTATTTTAATTTATCTTCCTTCTTGATCATTCCCTTCTTCGTCACCTCGTCTGTCTCTGTCTCATCGTCATCACCATGACTCACCATCTACTTGCTTCAAAGAGGGAAGAAATTGCGCACAACCATGGATCCGCGCCACTTGCCCGACTCTACCTGCCTGCTTTCGCCAGTCATCCGTCGCCTACACACCTCAGCCTTCTTGTCTACTTTCTTCTCTCCCTTTCACTCGTCATGCAACCTTCCACTCCCAGAACCTGGCATACTTAGGACGAATGTCTACTCGGTGCCGAATGAGACGCATCACACGAAAGAAGCTTGAAATACAGACAAACCACGCACATACGCACCTCCTTCCGCTGATGTCTAGTCCAGTGAGTTGAGAGGGATCCACGCCATTAACGCAACCGTCGCCGGCGGGGAAAGGGAGGCAGCGAACTGGAATCCAACCCTCTCGCGAAGACGAGGAGGGGTGTTCGTGGTGACGGTTGACGCCACGGTACCCTGATAGGATGCTGGCGTGAAGGTAAGTGATATAAGCCATCAATCTTTCATCCTCACCTCCTTCCTTCCATCCATTAAAGTGCCATTCGCTCACAATCCAATTATTAACACAGCACGACGACGAAAACAAGGTATTCATACCGTCCCGCCCTTCCCACACAGATTCAGACGAGCAACCGCGTATGTACGCATGTATCCACGTAGATATATGCCTGGGTACAAGCATAGGTAGTTGTCTCCCGTCTCTTTTTCATGTTCGCCAATCCTGATCTCGTCTCATGTACCGAGTACAGAGTACGTAATATCCATTACAGAACCCTCTCAATCGACCCCTGATCTGATCTGATCCGATCTGGCCAGATATGGTATTGAGCTCTCTTTCTTACTTACTACTTACTCCTCACATCCATACGGAGTACAACCACACGCCGCACTCATTCACTGATCCGCCCATCCGCCATATACCACCCACGCAACAAGGAACGCGAACCAAAAGCCAGAACCAAAAGCCAGAACCAAAACCAGAACCAGAACCAGAACCAGTCGCGTTCTTCGTTGCACCCCAAACAAATACCGCCGTTCCTCCCCCAGGAAGGTACAGGAACAAAACAATACGAATGAATCCACAAAGTTGTTGCGCAGCGAACAGAGAACATGCTTCTTCACACAAACTCTTGGCCTCGGTTTCTCGACAGCTACAAGTGCCAAATCTTATGAAAATGCACAAGAAAAAGAAAAGCTGGCAGCCCGCAACAAGCCAAGTCCATGGAGGGATGAGAATTCATATTGAGCTATCATCATGCAGTCGTGGGCAGCACTGACTACGATCCTGGTGTCGTGTCAACCCTCCTATCCGTTCACTCCATTTGGAGTCCGCCACTCAGCATTTTCTGCTGCTTTTTACCTCGAACAATCTGAGCAAATGAGCGGAGTCTCCCTCGCCCATCTGTTTTTTGGTTTCCCATGACGCAAAAAAAATCCAGTCATGGATGGAGAACCCCAAGCTTAGAAATGTAAAAGTTAAGCCTCCCATATCCGGTAAGGATATCTGTGCGCCGGGTAGCAACTGGTAAGTGACGTGTTCTCTCACTGCCACACAACCAGGAACGCGGAGAGGAAATTGAAGAGATATTTCCACACAAGACGGTACGCGAAATCGACCAGCGCCGAATACCGTCCCCCAAGCTGATGTCCCCTTGTCGATGAAGACCCAATATCTAATACGGTGTAAGCAGGCCGACTGCACCCACGCCCTTTTTAGTGCCTTTGCCCCAGGAAACAATATGAAGGGATTTCGCTCAAAAACGCCATGCAATGCTCATAGATAGTCGTGACACAGGCGCGAAACAAGGGCGAGATTTGGTAAGTAGTTTTTGGCGTAATGCTTGGCTTGCAAAACGCAACACCAAAGCATGTCGGCTTCCCTGCGACAGTGTGACCATTGCCAGGGAGGAGCCGCGGTATAAAGATTGACTGTTGATACAAGGCTAACGGGAAAACCCCGCCCCACGTAAGTTGATCTAGACTTTGCGGAAGTCTAGGCCCAAGTTAGTAGAGTAGGTGTGGAACGACCGTGGTGTTCAATGCATACCTGATAGCGTCGGGTAGATCTGCTCGAAGGCCTGATAGATCTCCTCACGGACCTTGGCTCCTGTGAGCACAATCTTGCCACTGACAAAGATCAACAAGACGATCTTTGGCTTGATCATGCGATAGATGAGACCCGGAAATAGTTCGGGCTCATACGAGCTAAAAGGATGATGCTTTGACGCAAGACCTTCCAGTCGAATGGGGAACTTGATGTCGCATGAGCCGACAATGTTCTGGATCTTGAAGTCGGTGAACTTGGCATTGAAGCCCAGTTTTTGGATGATACGAGCGTACTTGCGGCTGGCAAGTTTCGAATCATCTTCCGACTTTGCGCCAGTGACGACCATCTTGCCTGACGCGAAGATCAAGGCAGTGGTTTTGGGGTCGCGGATACGCATGATGACAGCAGCGAAACGCTGAATCAGTTAGTGGGTGCTGAGACTACCAAGCACGAGTGAGTCGGGGACTTACCTTGGGATTGTACTCAGCGTTGCGAGCATGGAGTGCAATGGTCTTGAGATCGAGACGACAGTCCAGATTGACCGTAGCGACGATATTTCTTGAGAATGTTAACCTCTGCTGACCTTGAGAAAAGGACAACAAAGGGACAATACTCACTGCAAGGTGGGTACAATACCACTCACTCCAGCGCCAGGAGTTGCGCCAGGGGTCTGCGGAGCCTGCATGGCATTTCCTCCCTGCGGCCCATTGGTCTTCCCATCTGCGTATGAGCCACCGTTTAGGTTTTGTCCGTCTTTCTCAGAGGAGGGCGGTGTCAGATCCCCAGCACCACCGGGAAACGACAGAGACGCGGGAGAGGTGAAGGCTTTGGCCTGCTGCGCGGTGGATGGGTGAGTGGTAAGAGACTCCATGATTGCAAGAACGTGAGGTTGTCGGTGCGACGCAATAAAGGGGTCGCAGCTGGTATCCTTGTCGATGTGAGAGATCGAAGAAGGACGAAAGCAGTCTGGAGAAATTTAAAAAAGGTCAGGTTAGGATGAGGAATTGATGAGTGACTTAGAAGGTGGCGAGGGTGCGGCAGAGAGGCGATCGATCGCGTCGGTCGGTCGGGGCTGCGAGGCTCGACTTTGGAGGCTGAAGTGAATTTCGCAATTGAATTCACTTGAACCCGCAGTAGGCAGCAGCGGCGTCTCAACTCGACGACGACGACGGATTCTGTAGATCGGAAGAATTGACCTGGAGGAGGAAAGGTAGAGAAGATGGATGCGGTGGTGGTTCGTACCGAGATGTGGGAGATGAACAACTCAATGTCTCCCCTACAACACAACTGCCCTACTTTCCAACTGAGAAGTCGGTCGACTGATTGAGTCTTGGTCCCAGATCAGATCTGGAGAAACTTGTTCGTCTGGTCTGGAGGGCGACGACGAGGTTGGGAGAACAGGGAGCAAGAGGAAGCAAGAGTGCGTAGATTTGCGATTGCGAATTACTTAAGAGCGGAAAGTGCAGACAGTCTATTGTGGCTTGCTTGGTTTTCTTCTTTTTCTTTGTTTCCTTTGGTTTGCCCTTTGTGAAGAGAGTGGCAGGCGCGGGTCGCAGGTGAGATCTGGGGGGATCTGGTTTGCGGGATGCGCCCAAGAGAATTTATGGCGGCACGATTTGTGTGGGAGAGCCAATCGATGCCAGAGAGAGGGAGGATTAATCGCAGGCTGGCAAGAGGAATTGCGCGTTGGATGCCGTGCGAAGATGGGATGGAAAATAGAGGGGGGGTGGATGGGAGTGGTTTGGCAGGAGGGAGTGCCAAGAACGAAAAAGGTCAGGACAGGAAAAAAGAGGTCGGCTGTACTTCGCGCGGAAAGAGGGCGAAGGAGGCATTTATAGTGCCAGGCAGTCGCCACAGAGCGCAGACTGGGAACCCCGCCCTGGAAGGGGCGCTATGCTTAAAATGGTCTAGCACGTGTCATCTGGGCGCCCGAGTGTCCTGGAACCTGCCCACACTGCACCCTCATCCACCAGGAATCTGCCCATGTTAGGGTTAGCAGGCCTATGCAGGCCTGTGCAGCCACCCCTGCAACCTTTTTCGCACTGGACGCTGCACCTTATCTGCCCCTTTTCTTCCCTCTGGCTTGCTGCATACCACTCCAAGCCCGCGCCAGGGCATTCCTGCCTAATCCGCCCTGCCGTACCCCCTAAACTAAAGTATGCATGATGCATCAACACCGAGAGCAAAACATTCTGCCATGACTCGTGCCATCATCAGAGCGTCCTGAAAAGATGATGAGCTGTGTGTGAAACAGAATTTTCACTTTCGGATGGGCATGGCAGGATTGGGAAGGGAGCTCCGGAACGTGGGCCCTGCTCACGTGGTTGGCGGTGGTCCTTCAGGTGTTTGTGCTGGAGATGTGCCGTGAGTGACTTTGGCATGACTGGGAAGAGGTCGGTTTGCCGCCCATCTTCCCAGTTTTTTTTTTTTTATTTGCCTGCAACATACCGAGTAGAGCTGTCGGGAACCGGGCAGTGAGCTGTCAAACATACCCGCCTCGTATACGAGGTCACCGCGCTCAACGATAGCAAACAACCCAAAGCCAGTTAGGTACCGGGTATGGTGATAAGAAAAAGAGGGAAATTCTTGTTGCAAACAAAGTTGGGAAGGGGAGGCAAAAGGGAATGAGCGATGAGTCACGGACCTGACGCGGTTTGGGCGATCGGTGCCAGTCGGTGCCATCGGGTGGTCAATTTGTTTCACATGCTAGCTTGGCATGCACCTCGGTGCAGGGATGACGACAACCGGCTGTCCAATCACCCTCCGGAAACCGTGTCCAGAAAGCCGCCCAAAAAGTCCCTAAAACCGGTGTCGTTCCAGCCAATGAACCTACGTGAATATACGAAGGATCCACAATCCGTCCACCTTCCGAGCTTGGCCACCCATCGCTTTCGGAGAGCCTGCCCTTTTCGGTCGTGCACGTTCAGCCTTGTGATCCGAGCCTCGTGATCAAGGCCACCTACTTGTACTACCAAGTACCTTGTCACTACATACCATGGTATCACGAAAGAAAGGTGATGCGCCAATTGACATGATATCGTGTTTGCTTGATGTTTTACGTGCCATCGTTGACTGTACAATCAGCGATCTATGTATTTTGCTTTCAAAGTCCTGGTAAGTCTTCTCTGGCGTGCTAACTACCCCCCGGCAGCCCCCCGGGTAAGATCTGCTCCGAAGCGAGAACCAAAGGCATACCTGATCCACACGGAAAAGAAGATTTCTGCCATGTCAACACGCAACACAAATGCATATGCACCGCGAAGTTTTAGTCGCATGTACTATTCTCAGACACGGATGCATCCTTGGACCACTCACCACTCCAGTGGCCCGGTGGGATGGCGAGTTCCTCGCACTCGTCAACCAAGACCAGAACACGGTCGAGATCCCCTCATAACTTACTCGCGCGCCGCCGGTCTCCTGTTCAGTACCGTCGACATTGTGCGGATAGAACCGAGGCAGTGGTTGACTGTGATGACGAGACCGGAGGTCCATATCCCCCGCGGTCTGGCGCTGCAGGGAGGAGGACAGGTCCGAGTCGACATTCGGAGACTGCCAAAGGCCTTCATTCGCCCTCGCCGTGGCTGTGGCGCACTGTACAGAAGAGATGACGAGGACGAGTGGCGGATTCAACCCGGATGGATTTCCATGACGTCTATCCGTCGATGAGCGGGAATCCTGCTTCGCCAACTATGTCCCGCTCCATGGGCATTGAATCTCCCACCGGGTTCTCAAGATGCTTCAACGGATGTGCAAGGGATGCCAGCTGTGCTTCGGATTTCACACGCGGTTGTCGCTACTTGTGAGCTCTAGCCGAAGAGAAGCCAGGGGGTATTCCAGACGGTTCATTGACCCAGTCCAAAGGCCCAAGGGATTGGAAAAACGGGCCTGTTTGTTTGTCCGGCCTGCGCTCTTCCGCCCAACTCTGCCGGCTGGTCTGCTGGAGCCTTACATCGAGATCGGGCCACGCATGCCTTGGTATGCTATGCTTTGCTCCGTGTGCTCGGACAATCCCGTTCTATTGCCATGGCCCCGGGTGCTTCAGCGAGGAGCGTCACTCGTCTCCGCGGCGAAACATACAAGTACCAAGGGCATATTGCACACCACGTTCCAGACTTCCTTCCGACTGCACCATAAATAGAGAGATACTAGTATGTCACGATCATGATCACCAGAGGTTGGTACCAGTAATTGTGTCTTGAATACTTTAAAATGAAGCTGTAGTCACTTGTATTCAGATATATATGCAACTGGCCACCACGGCGGGATTGGGGTTGGTCCTGGAGGTCCCCCCTCAAGTTGGCTTGTCTCCCTGGAGCAGTGAAAGCGCACCCATTGCATTACCCCTCTTGCGATGACCCTGGCTTGCTGGCTAGTTGGTTAAATGTCGATATTGTATCGTATGATGCTTCTTCGAGATCAGGTTCGTGTTATGTGCGATGAGATCAGGACTACGGTGCTTTTCGCAAACAGCGACTGAAACCCAGATGGCATGTGATATATCCAGAACTCAAGCATATCGTACACGGATCCCACCCAGAGATTAAACCATCTTGGACAGAGACTCCTGGGATGCGATGGAAGATTGCCTTCCTGACATCAGTTGAACCCTGTCAAGTCCGTGCTGCACCGTCATAATTTCCTCCCATACTGCCTCTCAAGTAATGCTATAGCTTGGTCCTTCACCACCTTGCGGGGTTTGCCAATTGATGTCTTGGTCTGGGACTTTGATATCGCATGTTTTGCAATGAATGCAGCTGTCGGCATAAGGGTAAGCGTTCAGAACAACAAACATCGTACCGTTAGCGTGACGGGAAACTTACTTCTGAGCATTGATCTGAAACCGCACGCCAATAGCTTTGGTGTCATCCTCCACATACTCATAGACGCCGGCCGGACAAAACCGGTTCTCGATGCCTTTATACTTCGGCCACTCCTTCTGCGCATGAGCGTCCCAGTCCTTCACCTGCAGATGCACAGGTTGGTCCTCCTCATGGTTCGTGCCAGTTCGTGACACGCTGGTTAAGATATCAAAGGTGATTTCGCCGTCAGGCTTCGGATACTCAATCTTGGGAAATTTGTCTGCGGGTTTCGTGGCCGCCCAGTCTGGCTGCTTGTGCTTCAAAGTCCAAGGCATCATGCCACGGAAGACAAAGGCCTCGAGGCCAGAGTACATGATGCCACCATAGATGCCCAGGGGGTTGTGGAAGGATGGTCGCATGTTCCGCACAGCTTTGAGTTCAGGCCAGATCCAGCTTTCCCGCAGGGCATCCTCGTAGTTATACAGGAAGATGGTGCTTGTCTCTTTGTTGTGCGCGAGGGCTTGATACGCGGCTTCGGCAGCCAACATGCCAGATTTCATCGACGTGTGCGTGCCCTTGATCTTGGGCACATTGAGGAAGCCGGCAGTGTCGCCGATTAGGGCGCCTCCGGGGAATGCACATTTCGGTATTGACTGAAAGCCGCCTTCGTTGAGAGCGCGTGCACCGTACGCGATGCACTTGCCGCCCTCCAGAACTGACTTGTAGAACGGATGAAGCTTCAGACGCTGAAACTCGCCATAGGGGGATATCCAGGGGTTGGCATAGTCGAGGCCAACAACCAATCCCAGGCTTACCAAGTTGTCCCCGAAGTGATACATCCATCCGCCACCGTAGGTGTCCTTGGACAGTGGATAGCCCATGGTATGAGAGATTTCACCCTTCTTAAACTTGTCTGGCTGGACTTCCCACACCTCTTTCAATCCAAGTCCATAGGTTTGCGGTTGGCAGTCCCTCCTCAGATCAAACTTCTTGGACACTGGCTTGGTCAGGCTGCCATGGCACCCTTCAGCCAGAAGCGTCACTCTGGCATGGAACTCCATACCACGCTCAAAACTGGCTTTTGCTTTTCCATTTCTCCCCACGCCCTGGTCGTTTGTAGCAACGCCCTTAACTGCGCCTTCATTGTTGTACAGGATCTCGGCGCCCGCAAAGCCCGCATATATTTCGACGCCCACCTCTTCCGCTCTCTCGCCCAACCACTTGGTAAACTGACTCAGAGAAATGATATAGTTGCCCTTGTTGTGCATCTGCGGCGGCGCCGGTATAGGAATTGCCCCTGATTTTGTGAGGAATCGCATCTTGTCCGGCCCAGCAGGCGTGGCCCCCGTAAATCGATTCTCGTTGTCCTCGCTCAACCAATCCGGGATCAACTCATTGATAGCTCTCGGTTCCAACACATTGCCCGATACAATATGTGCGCCCACCTCTCCGGCCTTTTCCAGGACTACCACGCGAAATTCTTCGTTCCCGGCCTCATTGGCTAGCTGCTTTAACCGGATGGCGGCACTCAATCCCGCTGGACCGGCGCCCACGATGCAGACGTCGACCTGGTCGGACTCACGCTCGACGCTAGCCGGGTCGAAGCCGTTTTCCTCGACATCTGCATAGCGTCGCTGCAGGCTGGCGGAAATGGAGCGTCTTTGGCCCGCAACAAAGACTGGTCTTGTGGCTCGTGACAGGCTGCGACCAGCTCGGCGCGATGCGGGGCAAGCTTGGAATACCGAACCTGAGGGTCTGGTGTAGAAACGACATTGTTGGACTGGAGCGGCGAGCCTCAGCAGAGGCCTCGGAAGGGGTTGCAAGGCCATTGGAAGTGCGCTGGGCCTGGAAAAGAGGTTGGAAGGAGAGCAGGATTGGCCTTTTCACATGAAAACTTGAGGTTTGGAAATGCTTCGGCGATTGAGTATTTCGGTGCGAAAGACGTCACTAGGTCCGTGGCTCTAGGCGGTTGGAGGGCGGTTGGCCTCGGCTCATCATGCTAGTGAAAGGCCCCTTCGGCTGCGAGAATCACCCACCAATGACCACCGCCGTAATCCAAAGCACTCTCTCCTTCTGCCCGTCGTGTCTTGCCGTCCCTCACTGTCGAAGCCCATTTTTCTGCTGCTGTCAGCTTTGCCTCTAGAATCCTCCATTGCCGTCATGTCAAGGTGGGCAAACATGTATGCAGCCCCACGACAATGTATCTCAGGCCACTACGATGCATTATCTTCCATGTACAAGGATGGACGCAGGGAAGACGGAGGCAGAATCATGACACGCACTCCGTCCACTATCCCCTAACCCCGAACAAGGTGAGCGCTTCAATTAATGTCCATTACTCATGCGGGAGCTTCATCTAGATGATTGATCCTCTCTGTGCCTCTTCTATCTCACAACCGCCAAAATGACAGCCTATGCACGTGTCGGGGTCTGCACAGGGTCCAACAAAGGCATCGGACTCGCCATTGTTCGCCAACTCGCCCTCCAGTATCCTCGATCCCCGCGCAATAGCGGCCCTTTACTCATCTACCTTACCGCACGAAACGAAGAGCGAGGACAGGCAGCGCTTGAGTCAATCAAGCTGGATCCGCAGCTAAAACGTGCAAAGGCTTTGAGAATTTATGGAGGACTCGCTGATGTGAAATATCTTCCACTCGATATCGACAGCAAGCAGAGCATCGAAGAGTTTGCAGCCATGATTAAACGAGAGCATCCTGATGGCATAGATTTCTTGATCAACAATGCCGCAATTGCGATGGACGGGTTTAACGAAAATGTGGCCAAGAAGACTCTGCATTGCAATTACTTCGGGACCTTGGAGGTCACGCAACAACTGCTGCCGCATATCAAGGATGGCGGGAGACTGGTCAACGTCGCTAGCATGGCGGGCCAACTAGGTTCCAGATACTCGAGCTCCATCCGGTCTCGATTCTTGCGCGCAAAGACACCGGAAGAGATCACCCAACTGATGGAAGAGTTCTCAACGGCGGTGTCGAATGGAACACACCGAAAAGATTGGCCAAGCTCAGCCTATGCTGTCTCAAAGGCTGGCGTGATAGGGATGACGAAGACCATCGCTGAGCAGAGCGCGCACAAGGGCCGTAAAGTCTTGATCAACAGCTGTTGCCCTGGCTACGTCAAGACCGACATGACCAAAGGCGGCGGAGTAAAGACACCAGACCAAGGAGCGCAAACGCCGGTGTTGTTGGCCATTGGAGACATCAAAGGGAACGGGCAATTCTGGTCGAATGAGAAGATCTCTAGCTGGGAGTAACAAATGGTAGGACAAGTCGGCTCTAGATTTGATAAAATGGGCGTCACGGCGACACCAAATCCCTGCACAAATATATCATCTGTATAGTAAAGCGTCCTCTGTTCTGCGACTCAGCTGCCACTGAAGTGTTTTGTCATACTCACCACCTGGTTTTGTTGTATACTGCGACCTCAAATGGCTACCAGTACCGAATCTTCGTCCGTGCCGTCCACGTCCGGCGCTGGCAGCCATGGCAAGGCTCCAAAACAGGGAGTTACAAGTTCAGTCATATTCCCCGCGAGCCCACTGGTTCCGTTCTCCGAAGCGAGCGTAAGCACCATGCGTCGCATCATCTCGTCATCCAATTCAACGCACCATCTCGCACGAACGGTAGCCGCTGGGCTTCCTCTTTTAGTTCGGCCCAAGAGCATGGACCACCAACCCGACTATTCTGTTCCAGTTTAATTTCCCTCTTTGGTCCCAACCGTCTGGGTCAGCCACTAGGTCCCCACCCAGCCTTATTGGTCCGCTTCCCTCAGTCAGGAACACCTCTAACACCAACGACGACGTAAGGGGAACCGGTGTTAAGGTAAGAGTCAACAGAGCAAGATGCGCCGGAGGAGCACAGGTTATCTCCTCTATCTTGCAGGGTGAGTGAAATCATGGAAGGGGATGAAAAGATCATGACGCGGTATGGAGGGAGGAGCAAATGTTATATATAATGAGCCGTGATGGGCAGGCCTGTGATGAGATGCCCAAGGTTCCAGTTCCAACACCAACACCAACCCCAAGTCTTTCTTCCGCCCAGATATTTTGAGAAAAGAAAATCAGCTCTCCGTCTCACTGAAAAACATGACGACTCGCTACACCGAAGCGCACCTCCCCTCTAACCTAACCGGGCCAGGCGACTCCCGCCCGACCGCGCTCCAGATCATCGCGGACAACAAGCTCGAAAACGCCCTGGAGGACAAAGTCGTCCTGGTGACGGGCTGTTCGAGTGGTATCGGGGTTGAGACCGTGCGGGCGCTCAAGGTCACAGGGGCCAGGATCTACGCGGCAGTGCGGAACCTCGAAAAGGGCCGCGCGGCGCTCGCGGACATGCTGCTGGAGTCAGGGCGGACAGGGAGGGTCGAGCTGCTCCAGCTCGACACGGCGGACTTTGCGAGCGTGCGGCGCTGCGCGGCGGACTTCCTCGCCAGGGAGAAGCAGTTGAACATTCTCATCACCAACGCGGGGATCATGGCCGTGCCAGACCGGCAACTCACGCGCGACGGCCACGAGCTGCAGTTCCAGACCAACCACCTGGGGCATTTCCTGCTGTTTGAGCTGCTCAAGCCCGCGCTGCTGGCCGGCTCGAGTCCGGCGTTCCACTCGCGCGTCGTCGTCGTCTCGTCTATCGGCCACCGGCAATCGCGCATCGTGTTCGACGACCTCTCGCTCTCCCGCGACGGCGCGTACACACCCTTTGGCGCGTACGGCCAGTCCAAGACGGCAAACATCTACATGGCCAACGAGATCGAGCGGCGCTATGGCGGCCGCGGCGGCCCGCTGCACGCGTGGTCGCTGCACCCAGGCGGCATCGACACCGGCTTGCAAGTGCACGCCGACTTCTCGGCCCTCTTGGCCTTGCCAGAGATCCGACGGGGCATGAAGTCTTTGCAGCAGGGCGCCGCGACGTCGGTGCTGGCCGCCGTGGGCACCGAGCTAGAGGGCAAAGGGGGGAAATTCCTCGACGACTGCGCCGTCAGTAGTCCCGTGGACATCGACCAGGCTGACGTCTTGCAGGCCCCCAGCCATGCCGAGTGGTGCTACGATGTCGAGGCCGCCAAGAGGTTGTGGTCTGTCAGTTGCCAGCTCGTGGGCGTGGAGGACGAGGAATGAGACACTGAGCGGCCTAATGTATCTGTCTACAACAGGATGTCCCTAAATCGGCAGACAGCCGAAGGGAAGGGAAGCGGGAGCGGATTTTGTTGAAAGGGAACAATTCTTCCTTCTTTTTGAAGAGAGCGAGAGAGACACATACCAATACTAATACCAATGATAGCGACAGTCTTTTCCACTTGATTTCTCTCTCAGACGGCCTGTCTGGGTGGTGGAAATCGTTGTGTATTTTACACCTCTTACCAGTTCGGCCTTACGAATCGACGAACAACCTGGCAAAGGATTGCTGCAACCATCAGAAGCGTATGAGCCGCGTCTAGCGTGTCGCCAGAGATGGAGATTTTATTCAATATGTAAACGGCAGCTCCTTCCCCTTTGGCGTCTCTTCCAGTCGTGGATGGCTGGGGTAATCGATATACTCGCGCTGGACATAACGGCCCGGATCACCACTAAAGTCAGTTTGGAGGATGCTCCAGCCATTTCCGAGCCAATTGAGACGATTGACAGGCTTGCCTTCCCTATCGCCGTCATACACGTACTCGTAAATCTTCCCATCGTGGGCTTCGGAGGGCTTCGATGGCGTGGCGGCAATACGGCGAGAAGCATTTCGCAGGCGAAGCGTGGGTGAAAGTCACGGACGGGAAGCCAACATTGCACTCCATATGGGGTCACCAACCGTGCAGACGAGTAGTGGATGCACCGAATGAGGAAGCGCTCAGTAGTTTCGAGCCTCCTCTGTATCCCCTTGGGCCCACATTTAGCGAGAGTCGGGGACCGCTTCCTACCAAGTAAGTATCTGAACGTTAGATGTAGACTTGACCTGGATGTCTCAAACCATCATGAGAGGTATTACTAAGGTTGGTCCAGCTCGCTCAGCGAAAGTCGCCGGCTCGCATCCATGCACTCCCCGATGCGACGCCAGGTGGAACCGAGATACGAGGCGGAATTTCCATTCGCGAGATACGGCCTTTCTATTGTTCATCCCAGGCCCCTCCTGTTAGGAAAAAGGTGCCGAAGTCCTGTGATAGCAGCCGCGTTGGGAAACGACGGAGCGACGGAGCACAGCCAGTCTGTGGGACGTGCGCAAGAACAGGCCCTTCAGCGGCATGTGTCTTGGAACCATGCAAGGGGGGACGTCGAGGTGAGGACCACTATCTCCCCCGATATGTGAGACTCTGGACTGACTATAATACCTCTAAAGGAAGATCGAGCTCTTGGAAAAACGCATTACCGAACTTGAGCAAGAGCGAAGCGGTGCGTCAATATTGTCGAATAAAGTCCCTTTGCCCGCATCTGACTGTCCGTCAGTTCGACCGCAAATCCCGTCGTCGTCGTCGTCGTCGTCGTCGCCAAGACATGCCTCGCACTGGACAGATTCAACTGGACTCGGTGAGGGGCTGGAATCAACAACACTAGACTCTGGCCGGTTCACAATGGCCGGAGATGGCCATCGTGGACCAAAGGATATGGAGGCTCTGTCGGATCATGCAAAGGACCAGGTAATGTGCCCATGAAGGTATATAAACCACGCGTGGAGAAAATATTGACACATGTCAGGGACACCACAATTTCCAAGTCGACGGCATGGGAATCGTCGTAAACGATGGATTGGTGTACTCCCTTCCAGAGGACGAGGAGTCGCTCTACTTTGGCCAGTCCAGCACATATAACTTCGTTTACCAAGGCCAACAGATCCTCCGGGACTCAAGCCGGAGTTTCCTGGAGGAGGACCATTTCTTGGACGAGAGCTATCCTTCAGACCAGTATGCCGCAGAATCGTACTAACAAAAATGTCTTTTTTTGAGGCTAACAACAAGAACAGGATGAGACGGGCGCGTAGCGGCATTTGACGACTACGTTCTCCCACCCAAGAAGGAGGCGGACGGCCTGATGGCCATATTCTGGAGTCAAGTCTATCCTCTGCACCCCTTTGTCGACCAGAGCACATTCCAAACGGCGTGGCATGGAAACATGCTGTCTCCGCTGGCGGACCTGGGCCAGCTGTGTGTTGATGGACCGGTGATGTGAAAGGACAAGTCTCCTACATTCAAGCGATGAACTGATAGCGAGATGCAGGAGATCAGCCACTATCTACGGCCGGCCGCCGATGACCACGTCGAGGACAGCACAGTGGCTAATCCCTTCTGAACTGGCGATCCAGCGCGAAAGCCTGACCGACAGCGATCGGAACGTTATTACTTTTCTGTCTCACTCGGTCCCGCTCCAGGAGCACCTTTCGGACATCGTGACCAAGTTCAACGACGAGCCAGAGACAGACACTGCTAGTACTAGCTGGGGCGGCAACGGCAGCGCAACCCCTTGGTCCCCTCAAACGTCTAACAAGCGAGGATCAACTACAAATACCGGAGTCGGCTCAAGCTCAAGCTCAAGGACAGGGACACACACAAGGGCAGGTAGACGCAGACGGGGACGGAGATGGAAATGTCGAGTGTGGTGCCGCACTGCCGGATCTGATATTCAACGACACGATCGATTTCTCGTGGCTCAGCACCGCCCCCTTTGAGTTGAGCCCGGAAGAGCTGACGGGAACGTTCCGGTAGTTTCGCTAGGCTATGCTCGTAGCTACTGACATGTACCAAGTACGTATCCAGCGAGCAGCTAAAGTCACCAAAAAAAAGAAAAGAAAAAGAAAGGACCATTATAACCTAACAAGTACTGGGTACATCTATCGAGGGCGTCACAAGTCTACTCTCTTCTCCGTTTCTTTCATCTCTTCCTCGTCACAAACCCTTTGGCGCCGTCAATCAGCCTCTCAGCCACCCCAAAGACAAAGCGCATACCGAAACTCCACTTCTTGACCCGCACGCTCCAGATGAAGAAATAGACCAACAGCCAATTCGAGCACACAAAGACCAAAAAGATGCCAAAGTCGCGCCACTGCTCGTCCGGCCTGGTGTTCAGCGTGGAGAGGTATTCCCTTCCGCTCGCATAGGGGCAGTACGCACAGGTCCCGTTGGCCAGAGTACTCACATAACCCATCCCGGAGGAGTTGATGAACGGCTGGGTGTAGGACTGGCAGCTCTGACCCGGCGGGGCATTGTACAGTGTCGACTCGCCCTGTGCGCAGCGGACCGTCAGGTCTTTCAGCGTCGCTGCGAGCACGCCGCGCAGCCACCACGTGGACGGGTTGACATAGTACATCCAATATCGCCAGAACACAGGTAACTGGCTGTATGGCCTCACAATGCCGTTGAAGATGGAGACCATGACGAAGAAAAAGGGGAGGGTGTTCGAAATCACCGTAAAGGAAGGAGCAAACGCACATATCCACTGGCCCCAGGATGACATGAAGAAGTAGAACAGCATGGTCATCAGGAACATGTACCCCGCCGTCTCGCTATCGCGTGGGAGCCCGGTCGGATAGTACCACAACAGCCAGTAGATGACCGAGCTAACGACGGCTGTGGGAATCTCGGCGACAACCTGTGCTGTACAGAATGCAAACCACCCGTAGATTCGCGATGGGTATTCCCTGGCCTCCCACAACGCGCGACTCTGGTAGAATTTGGGGACGACGCCGTTTACGATCGTGGGTGGGATGATGATAATGAGGAAGGAAGTGAAGAACCGTTCTTGCAGCGATGCCACCGAGTCGCTGAGATTGTAAAATGTGAAGCCGTTGAAGACGCCAATGATCACGCTGACGAAGAGCTTCGCGTACAGATACGATGGGTCGCGCCAGTATGAACGGAATGTGCGCTTCGTGAGCTCGTACGTCTGTAGAGATAGGGGGGCGGCAAAGGCGCGCTGTTCCTTTACTCCCTTTGCCGGCTGCTCCTTGGACCGTTCTTCCTTCAGGCGTTGGATCTCCTTGAGCATGGCCGCGTTTTCCTCGGATTCGAGCCATTCTCTGTTCCAGTTGACCCGCTTTCCGTCCGCTCTTCTCTTCCCTCCTTTCGCAGCAGTCTCGAGAATAAACTCGGCCACGTTCTTGTTGGGTGGACATTGAGTGCCTCGTTTCGCAAAATATTCAATCACAGCCGAGCCGTTTTCTCCAATGGGACCAAAGTAGAAGGGGTTACCTCCGGGATTGAGTGCCAAGACCATGTCGAATTGCTGGATCAGCATCGACGAGGGCTGGTGAATCGTGCAGATAATTGCCTGGCCGGCTTGAGAGAGCTTCTTCAAGAAACGTACGATCGAGAAGGCCGATTGAGAATCCAAACCGCTGGTCGGCTCGTCCAGGAAAAGAAGCAACTCGGGCTTTGCGGCCAACTCAACACCGATCGTCAGTCTCTTACGCTGTTCCACACCCAGCGAACCAATAATGGCATCCTCGATGTCGTGGAGCTCCAGCAAATCAATGATGTTGTTGACGTAGTCAAGCTTCTCCTGCTTCGGCACATTCCGATCTTGTCTCAATATCGCCGAGAACTCAAGAGCTTCTCGGATAGTGGCGGCTTCGTCGTGCAAGTCCATTTGTTCGCAGAAACCAGTCCCTCGCTGGAATTCTATTCCTAGAGGGCGTCCATCAACAAGCATGTCCCCAGAAACAGTGCCAGTCGTTTGTCGCTGCGAGAGGGTGTTGAGCAGTGTCGTCTTGCCGGCTCCGGAGGCACCCATCAGGGCGATCATAATTCCAGGTTTCACATATCCATTGACTCCGTTGAGCAGTTTTCTCTTCCCACCTTGGTATGGGACTTCATACTCGACATTCTCCCACGTGAAGATACTCTCGCTTTTGGCGATGCCGCCCACGATCGCGTCCTTCTCTTCCTTCAGAATTTCTGATGTCCCACTTGAGCTGGGCTCCACGGGCGTGACGGCCTTTTCTTCATCTGTATCTTTCGTCTTCTCGCCGATCATCTTCTTCGCTTTGCGAGTTTTCTTGAAGACCAACGCACCGCCTCCGCCTCCAGCAAAGGAGAAGATCTCGGAAGCGAAAGCCGTGATGAGGATGTAGAGCACCGTGAAGGCGATGACCACACCGAAATTTCGCCAGAGGTGTGACCGCGAGTAGCCGAAGGAAGTTTGGAAATAGGCGTCACCGCTGACTCTGGTGCTGCCCATCGTTGCTCCAGGAAGCGAACACCCTTGGTAGCCCGGTTGGGCGTAGGGGCCGCGCGGTATCAAGTTTGAAGGAGAGCAGTCCATCAATCGACCATGGAACTCGTTCGTTAACACTGCTTCGTACGAGTATGACACCGGATTGACGTAGAACAGCCAACCGAACCAAATCACGTCGCCCGTCAATGTAGTCTTTGGAATTGTGTAACCGACAAAGATGACCAAGAGATTGAGTGCGATACCAGAAAATCTGACCGCGTCATCGATAGTCGGGCTCAACGCCGCAAACATCCGATAAAGCGCTGTTATGCATATCGTGCTGAGATACACGAAAAGAAGGTTGATGAAAAATTTGCCAGCGTCGACATCGAGATTGGCCATGAAGTAGAGAACAATGGTGAAGACGACAGCCTGGATGGCGAGAACCGGCAGATCTAGGACGACTCTGGCGATGACCACAGCGCTGGGCCGATAGAACGCATAGTCGCGATGCCGTGAAATCACCACGCGGCCGCTGACCGCCCTTACTAGCTCAGTCATCTGGAGCCAGCCGAGGAACAAAATAGAGAAGAAGAGAGCGCCGCCTCGAGAAAAAGCGCCGCTGGTATCGAGACTTTCGCCATAAAACAAGGAACCGACGATGAGGGCGTTCGAAATGATGATGAAGGCCTTGGTGTACAGAGTCGACTTGTCGCCCCAAAAAAGCCAGAACTCACGAAGTGTGCACGCCATGACTTGACGCCAAAACGAGACAGTATAGCTAGAACGTGCTGAGATGAGCTTACTGTTGCTCTTCTGTTCCTGGACAGCTGCTTGGAACTGCCTGGCATCTGAACGGTCAGAAGCCTCCATCTCAATCTCGTAGCGTTCAACCTCCGCAAGCACTTGTTTATAAATGGCAGATTTGCGGTATGCAGCCTCTAGCTCTTGTGCAGTTTTAGGTGTTGAAGCTTCCATGCCCTCTCGGAACTGGCGCTCGTTCGGGTCTCCTACTGAGGTTAGGAAGTCGGCCGTGGTCTGCCGCTCGGGTGCATGGAACCCCAGATCAATGAAATACTGTCGTGCTAGGTTCGCCGGGCCCTGGTAAATCATACGAGCCTCTTCGATGACCAAGACCTTGTCCATAAGTTCATAAATCCCCTCACCCGCCTGATAGAGAGTGACGATGGTTGTTCGATTCGAAATGTCAGTCATGACCCTGAGCGATTTTGCGTAGTCCAACGCGGTAGAGGCATCCAAACCGCGCGTCGAATTGTCCCAACAGACCACAGTCGACTTTGTTGCCAACGTTTCGGCGATACCCACTCGTTTTCGCTCACCTCCGGAAACACCTCGCACATACTCGTTTCCCACCAACGTGTCTCTCGTGTGGGAGATACCAAACATCTTCAGAAGGGCATCGATGATGATCGGGATGGTGCTAGCATCATGTTTCTTGGTCTTGTTCATCAATGCAAATTTGAGAGTCTGCCACACAGTCAGGCTGGGGAGATGTTGGTCGTCTTCTGGATTGTAGTTGACTTCGCCTCGGTAGCTCTTCTTTTGTTCTTCGGCAGAGATACCGCCGTAAGTGACAAGGCCTTCCACACCAGCAAAGCTCTCCCGTTGGTTGGCAATGACCTTGAGAAAGGTCGAACAGCCCGATCCTGGACGACCAAGCACGAGCATCATCTCGCCATCGCGGACACTACCCGTGAAGTCGTGGATCAGATCCCTTGTCGGAGGCGATTTGCCAAACTTAAGTCTAGGGATGAATC